ACACACACACACACAAATACAAATAGACAACAAACTAAATGGGGGAAATGGGGGCTTAAATGCATAGCTGTTGACATGCTGACAGCACATTATTTACCTCGCAGCCAGGCCAGAAATTATGAACTCCGGCAATATTGCAGCGCGATGAGCTGAACCCCAGCGCAATATATAAATTCTGCTCATATATCCGTTTTTAATAAATTAGTTTGCAATTTGCCACGCCTGACTGGGTCGAAAGCCAGCCAGTGTACAAGAACAGCTGCAAAAGTTGCAACTACAACTACAAGTGCAGCCAAAGTGGCAACAAGGATGCGCTGGCAACCAAGAAGCTTCTTGGTAACAACACTCACCTTCGAGCCACACGCAGATACCCGCTTCGAGTGCCATAAAAGCCAAATGCACGGCAAAAACTATATAAGGTCGGTATGTATCATATAGCTGCGCCACACTTCCGTTGCGCAACGCCCACAACAGTCGTCCTGGCGAAATAAATGTCGGAACACACGGGCTTTGTTTCGAAGGACCTCCGTTGTATCTCAGTTATGCAACTGCAAAACAAGTGAAACTAAAGGGCGCCAAAGAGCCAAAGTTTATCGGTCGAGTACAAATTATGAAAGAAAACTCTTAGTCTGCAAACAACTATTTAAATTTAATTATTTGAAGTTGAAAAATGTAATATGTACCTTTAATTAGCACTCTTCAGATTTAAGTCTTAACAATTCAAACGGGAAGCTTATGCAAAATATGTAAACAAAGTGTTTACAAAGCCTCTGGTTACGGACTATAATTAAGTTAAAATTTTCCGGTTTATATTTAGATTCATTGCTTAAGGCTTATAAAGCTAGGGAATAAGGAATGTTTTCCTCTTACTTTGATTAATTCCCCTGTTGAGTGACCTTGCATGAAATTATTTGAATACAAGAATTAAAGCCCACGCCAACCATCTCTTTCGTAAATAATATTTAAATCAGCGTTGGCCGGCTTTAAGAGCAATTCCCATAAGCCAGTGGCAAGCTAATGCCGTCATTCAATGTCAGGCAATTTCCGGTGCGGCAAAAGCGAACCGAGCTCCCAACCTGGACGAGAATCATCGCAAATTCGAAAATTCCGCGAAGGGCATTGGCAAATTGGTAATTGGTATAACGTTAGCGGACAGGATGGGACAATCCCGCTTCCCACCAAGCAGATCCGATCCGAAAAGATGTCGAAATGGTGAAAAGGGAAGCGAGCGACCAGACGATGTGTAAATCATTTGAGCAAAACGTAGACATAATCCTGGAGCACGGGTATTGCGACTGTGCACGTGCCAGAGGCTTTTATTATTGTCTGCCCGTCTGCCCGCCTGATGCCGCCATTTCCTCCGAGCAAGGACCCTAAAAAATTCATAACATGTAGCGCCGCATATCCCGAAAATCCACACCCGAAGACGGCGACAATATGAGCGCCCATCAGCAGCCATCAGCGGCCAAGAGGATGCGACTGAGCCATCGAGCCACCGAGCCACCATTCCACTGCCAACAGCCAACAGCTAGCAGTCTTGTTGAGTGGCGGTCTTACGTAGCAATGACATGGGGGGATAAAAGTATCATTGCTTTTAGAGAGAGTCCTCGTCGCAGGCCTCCTTAGTGCCCCTAATGCCGCCAGAACCCGAAACCCAAGCCAAGAACAGACCAGACCGGGCCAGACCAGAAGGCCCGGCCAGCCATTGTGGCCACAATAAAAATTCGCATTCCCATTATATAGCCATCATTGTTGTTACTGGCGCTCGCACACCCCGGCAAATATACGAGGATATATTCCTGCCTAAATGGCAAAAGTGTGCGAGGTGCGGGTGGAGTGGGGGTACACAGAAAAAAAGGTTATTAAAAAAGATTATGAGCTTGGATTTCATAGAGAATATTCAGTTTAAGTAGACATTGTACCCTATTAAAATACATAAGTTAATTAAATTAAAAGTTTATGGCTGATACTTTAGTATATTTAGAGGTTCCTGTAATTTAGTATATAATAAAAGAGTATTGTCAATAGATATATCTAATAACAAAGTTTCTATCTTCATATCAACCATACAACATTTTCCCATTTATTCCCTGTGCACCAGAAGCCAACCAGCAATCAATAAAAACTTCCGTAAATGAAATGAATGCCATTTAATGGCCAGCAGGCGGAAGCAAAGAGACAAAACCCTAGGAGTTGTGCGTCATAAACACTTCAAAAAATCATTTTTGGGCAAAAGTTGGGCCAAAATATTTATATAAATAGCTAAACCGAACCGAACTGAACTTTTTAGTGAGTTATATATTGCGTCTGCAATTTGGAGAGCAAGCTCAAAACTTTCATTATGCAAAAGTTTTTTAATAAAAGTGCAAACATAGTGGCAGCTGACTCCGAAAAAAGCCGCTCTCTACTTCGCTCCTTCCCTGCTTTTGGCCACATGGCACACATGCACTTGGCCGTTATTAAAACCAACAGTTTTGTTTACTGCGAGTGTGTGGGTGTTCCATCTATTTCCCAATAGCATTAAATTAACTTTTTTACATTCCTTTTCCCCGATTTTACCTTGCCAAAAATGATCTAATTCTATGGCAAAATAGTATTTAATTGAACATTTGAAAGGAGATGCTTTCGTATAGCTAAATATAGTGCTTGACCAAAATAATTTTCTGTCAGCTACACAAACGCTACAAGCCATAAAATAAATTCACATATTCCCACATTTGCTACCAACGTGTGCAGTTTCAATGGAAATTTTATTCTCTGCGTGGCTCTAATTTAAATTAATTAATTTTGTGCACACCACAAGGCAAACTCTGCAGAAAATACTAAAACATGGCGACCATTCAAGAGGAGGGCAAACTAAATTGTTAATTAAATATTATATACCTTTATGTTGGAGTAAAAACAATATTGTTGTGGTATCGCGAAAATGCGACTAATAAAGCGACGGAATAAAAATCATAATAACGTTTTAAATGTTTAATTTAACATAAAAAGTGTGTAAAAAGAGGGAGCAGCTCCGCAACATCGCCTGATGAGGAACCAAATGGAGGAAGCGGGTCCAACTTGCGCGGAGCCAAGTGAGTTGGCAGCGATATTACGTATACGCACGCATGCACATGGCGACAAGGCAAATATTTTATATGCAAAATAAAGTACTCGAAAAGTCACTTAAAGTGTGTCGCTGGGTGGAGCTGCTTCCTGACTAACCGCCCGACTTGAGGGGCATAAAGAGCGTAAAAAATGTTAAATGATAAATAAAATTTACAACCGCAACAACAAAGCCAGCAACAACGACATCGCCGACCGAACGAACGAACGAACATATGTGGCAAAGCGAAGAAGTTTTCCCCGCTTTTCAACCCCCTTCCTCCCACTTCCCATTTCCCTCGAACGAGCGACATAATAAAATGCAATTTAGACATCAAAAATACAGAGTAAATGGAGCAAGAGTAGCAAGTCGCTAGTGGCAGGACGAGGGCGAAGGACGAAAAGGAGGAGAAGGAGGAGGAGGTTCGCGCAAAGAGTCACAGACAGCCGCGTGACTGACAACCGAGGGCCGAGGAACCGCAGCCGCATCCACATCCGCGCCAAACGACAAACAGTCGACAGCGACACACATGTGACAAAGGACGAACAGGCAGGATAACACTAGCAAAAAAATATTCAATAATATCAATGAAAAACGAGTGTTTAATTTTGGACGAAAAACCGCTCAACCAGGCCATACATTTTATAAATATTTGAACAAAAAAAATTAATTTTCGTTATGAAATAGACAACCTTGATAATCATCTATTGATAGCCTTTTAAATCATTTTGATACACTAAAAAAATGTTGCTTCTTTTGTACTTTTGTACTTTTACATTTTTTTTTTAAATTTATTCATAACAAGTCCCCGTAACTCGTACACAAAAATTATTTAGGTTATTAATGTATAAAATACCTCTCCTTGTTCTAAAAATGAGATGTTTGGTATTATGTTACCTTATTTTTTCTTGCAGTGGAAGTCGCTCTTTTGAGTAAGAGGCTGTGCGTTCCAGCAAGAGGGATTGCCGGCGAGAAATTTACTGCAAACGATATGTTACTCTTTCTTTCCGCATGTGAGCCTTGTCCGGCGGCTACTCCGTTGTCCAGTGCATATTTAAAGACCGTGGCATACTTTTCAAAAGGAAAAGCAAGAAAAAATGAAAGCAATGGGGAGCGGAAGTCCCTTGGCCAATTCAATCGGGCTGCAAATCAAAGCAGAGAGCTGCACAAGTGACATGGGACGTGGGACACGGGAAGCAGAACGGGAAAACACGAGCGGGATGCCAGCGCGTAGCGGGACAACAAAGGTGTGCACTTAATTTAATTAGACCCGGGGTACTCCGGAGGAACCCCTGCTATATAGTGCAGAATACGGGGATGCTGTTGCCGCTGCTGCTCCTGCTGCTGCTGTTTGCCCGGCCCAACAACAACAACAAAAACCGCCCACATTTCGGCCCAAACTGGCGATGTAATGGCCTGGAAATGGCATTTGGCAGCCTGAGAACAACGATGGAGAGTGCGCGCGCGAGCCTTTTGTGAAGATGAATTTCATTTCATTAAACACAAATTTCATTGTGTGCGCTTAAAGTGAAATTAAATAAATGAGCAAAAGGTGGAGATGGGGTGGCAAGTGGGGGGAAAGGGTTATGTCCATGACAAATGCACCGTAAAATCGCTGCTAAAAACCTCGGTCTTGCGATGTGTGTGCCTTGCCATTTCCCGATTTCGCTTCTCTGTTTCCGTTCGTGTTTGTACTCGTATTTTAATGCAAATTGTTGTAATGTTAAATGAGTCACAAAATTGTTGTACATCAACGGGGATTAAATGAATTTTAAAACTCGGCATTAAAATTGGAATACGAAATGTGCAAAACTGCATAATGTCGTTCGCGTTCGCTTTGGTTTGACGGGATGCGTAATGTGCTTAAAAACTATAACGAAATTCGTCGTGTGCTCTGAATGCAAATGAGGAATGCAGCAGGTAGGGATGATATATTATGTAAATGTGGTTGCGACTTCTAACTTACTCCTACCACCAGCTCTTGACCTTGTGGAGAACCGTCTTGAAGACGGGCACCTTGACAGGAAAGGGTTTCGGCACCTTGATGGGCACATACTTCACCACGTGGTAGGGCACATGCTTCTCCACGGGAACAGGGATGTGTTTCTCCACCGGCACGGGGACCAATCGCTCCACCGGCACCTTCAGCTCCTTCTCCACGGCCACCTGGACGTTCTTGGTGATCGGTATGTGGATGGGAACTGGCTTGCGAACGGGAATGATCACCGCATGGGAGATGGGTATCTTCACCTCCTTCTCCACCGGGACATGCTGCTTCTTCACGTGCTTCACCGGCACGTAGTTGATGATGTCCACGTGGTGGGAGTGGTGGGTGTGACCTCCTTGGCCGTGACCACTTGCCTCCGACAAGTAGTTGGAGCCCTGCTCCTGGCCAGCTTCGGAATGCTCCTCGTAGTCATCGCCGCTGGATCCGCTTGAGGCAGTAGCAGATGCGGCCGATGACGAACCGGATCCAGAGGCAGAAGGGTCATGTTGCCCGAAGTACGGGGAATGGGCGTGCTGCTGCTCCTGTTGCTGCTGCTGCTGCTGCAGATGCTCCAGCTGCTCCTGATTCTTCTGGAATTGCTGCTGGTGCTGCTCGTAGAGCTGCTGCTGCTGCTGGAAGAGCTGCTCCTGATGGTCATCGTACCCGGAACCCGATTCGTAGTGAGGCAGGAAGTTTCCCATTGAAATTTTATCGTACGCATACGGATGGGCCGCCTGCTGTTCCGCTTGTTCCGCATTCAACGACGATTGCCAGGAGTCGTAGCCCTGCTCAGCAGCACCAGATCCACCAGATGCCCCGTAGGCTGGCACAAATCCGCCATTATGTGCGGCACCGGGATAATGGTAAATCGGGTTATGCTGTTGATTGTTCTCTGGTCCACTTCCCCCACCGAAATCACCATGAGCTCCAGCTGCTGCTGCCACAGCGGCAACGGCGGCATCTTCATTGTGCTCCTCGTAAATCGGTATCTCCTGCTTGCTGGAGCCGAGGGCCAGTGCCTCCGTATGGCTGGGCGCCACCGAGCCGTAACCATTGGAGATGTGTCCCAGGCCCGAGAGATTTGTGAGCCCATTGAGCACCGAAGAGGAATGGCCGCCGCTGAAGGCTCGCCGTTCGCCCGCATCGCCGCCTGGAATTCTCGGGGAACCGTAGCGATGATTGGCGTGGTGATGCTGAATCGATTGATCCATTGGCCGCCAGCGATTGTCGAACAGGGACCCCATGTTGTGGTATGACGGCTGGTTCTTGGCCACAGCCTCCGCGGGGCTGGCTCCACTGGCAATGGTCAGAATTGTGGTGGCGGCAAGGAGCGGCATCTGCTGCGGAGGATAATGCAGGACGATTTAGTATGCAAAAATTCTTCAATTGCGGTAGGTGGAAATGGGATTGAGATCGAAAAGATTCGAATAGAAGATACCTAATGGCCAGAAATTTGATTTAAAGCAATAGATTATTTGATTGAAATAATTATGAATTTCCAAATAAAATTTGCAGATGTTTTAAATTCGATTAGAACATATCTGAAGATGTAAACAAATATATTATAAATTCTTTTCCTATGGTTTCAATTTAAAAATGCATTTCCATTTTCACAATCACAATATTCCCAGCACTCCAAGGGTAACTTAAAAAAAATCGACCAAATGGCATGTCATTGTATTCCAGAATTTTGCATAATGCATTTTTAATATCCTCGAGTCGCGCTCTTCGGCACTGCAATCCTCGTCGTACTTACCAAATTAACGTTCGCCATTTGGCCTGGTGGGCTTCGAACTCTGGCTGGGATGGGATTAGACCTTGATTGCTGCTGCCCGACTGCTGCGATGGGAATGTGGCCGAATTGCGAACGCGACAGCGTTTTTATATGGCTGGCGACTAGGACAGATCTTTCGCCCGAGAGGAAAAGTCTTACACAATTTGCGGCCTCAGCTGTGTTAATAGAAGGCGGTTGGCCAAAAGTGAGTGTTTGCCATTTGTTGACCTGACTTGCTGCCGCTGCCAAAAGCCTGTCTCCTTCGCCACTTGCCATTTCTCTCGCGCTTTTGCTATGCATTTATGAATTAAGTTACGCGATCAACGCAAATCGCCGAGTGCAATCCAGAAAAGAAAATGTAATAACCAAATCATAGCCACGAAACCGGCTCTCAAACACTTGGGAAAACAATAAAGTTCAAAGTCATTTTCCATGGCAGCGACAAGGAATTAGTCGAGTCGAGTTGAGTTGAGTCGAATCGAGTCGAATGGAGTCCGCCAGTTTGGCACGCGCCTCCATTTCCATGCAGCATCATTATGATCTCGCCACGATCACGATCTTCGGTGGCCTTCACGAGGTGCAGACCAAAGAAAAACAGAGAGAAAGAAATAACCTGCACTCCTTCAGTTTGGATTAGAGTGGATTGCCAAAAGTGGTTGGACCGCTTCGGGTGCAGACAGACAGAAGCTGATGGCTGTGATTCCATTTCTTTTGGGCCCGCTTAAGGCCTTAAACATTTCCATTTGCCATTGTGCTCGGACTCGCCTTCACCTTTTCCACAAAAAAGGTTAGTTTTAATTGTTTTAACAACTTTTTTTTGTTTTTGTGGTCCATTGTTCGTTTTGGTTTGGTTCGGTTCAGTACGGTTTGGTTTGGTTTGGCGTGGTTTAGCTTGGTTTTTCTTGGCCCAAGTTTGGGGCGTGGCGGGGAAAAAGTGAACGCCTTTTAAGTGCACCTGCAGACATGATGCTGCTGATTATATTTTTCTTGCGAAGCGTAACAGCTCGTTAGTATTTCAAGTGATTTTCATTTATTTTCCTCGGCTGCCTTAGCTGCCTTGGCTGCTGCTTGGCAGACCGATGGAAAGGCCAGGCCGAAAAGGAAGTGTACTGATTTGAAAGGAAACAAACATTTCCCAGCTGCCCAGAGAGTTGGGCTCTTATCGCTGCTCCCGCTGCCCTGGCAATCACTTTTCAGGGTATTTCTTTAGTTTTTTTTTTTACTTCAGTTTTCTGTTTTCGTTGAGCGCAATTCACGCTTACTTCATTTCAATTACAATTACATGATGCCATTTCTCTCGCTGGCTGCTCGCAAATGCAAAAATGATGTAACTTAGTGGAGGCCAACGCGATTACCTGGTGCTTAACTCCTCCCCAGCCATCGCGGTGTCCAAAACTGAAATCCTACCTCTATGAAAGGACAGTACCGAATCGAACCAATCAATAGCTTTGAGCTCACAAATATAAACAACACGGAATCGCTTTTTAAATACTATATTTTCGCTTTCGATTTCTGTTTTATATTTTTCTGGTTCGGGCCGGAGCTCAAACGAATGACACAGACGGGCACAGATGCGAATCCATATTCAGATACAGATACAGATACAAATACAGATACATATGCAGTTCGGGATGCAAATGCAAGCGCCGAGCGGGTTATAAAATAAATAAAAGTGTTTCATATTTTTGTGCTGCGTTGGGCGCTCTGCTTTCTAGTCGTTTTAAAACTCTTTCAAATGTTGTGTAATATTTTGCCAGCCCGTATATTTTTTGTTTCCAAAAAAAAGGGATGACAAAATATGCATTTGAAATGCCAGTTTTCGGGCGGCACAAATGCGGATACGCCTGTCGGTCGAATATCCTTGTGCAACGTGCTCATATTTGCATTGTATTTATGCACAGTTTTATTGTTGTTTATTGAAACTGTGGGGGTGCAACAAAGGCTATTGGAATTTCGTTGCCTAAATACAAGTGCCAACAGAACTAAGCACACACTTACATTTTGTGAACTGGTCCATTTTCAACACCGCAAACCTGGTTATGTCAACCGGAAAATAATAGTTGGAATTTTATCCTACCGAAACTGGTCATCTTCTACGAAAAACAAAGAATTTGACACTCTCAATGCAATTTGTGGGCTATAGGAATATGATTACGCTCTTTTAACCAAAATAGGTCTATTGATTGTGACAATCAATTTCGAACATAAATTGGAATTCATTTTCTATCTCCTTTATTATACTTATTTTTTATCCAAAACGGAAGTGGTGCATAGAATTATTTTTATTTAAAATGCATTTTTCACAGCTTTTCCTTTATTTGATGCATCATATTTTAGATTTGTATAATACCCATGTTATCTATATTTTTTAATGCATCTAAAAGGCAATCTAAACAAATCAGCAAGCCAAATAACTAATGAACTTATTGCTGGTATTTTTTGGTTTTGGTTAGAGATGAATATTTGCTCTAAATAAATTTTAAAATTGCTTTCACTATATTTATTAAATAAACCAACAACTGACCATGACATGTTTCGTGGTATTGGTCGAAACCAAACCAGTTTTCTTCAGATCCTGTTGACCAATTTCAGTGGCCTCACCTCCCCCGTAAAAAATAGACGTTTGCGTGTTGAGATGCTTGCCATTGGATGTGCAGGAGTACACCCCGGCGTATACTTAATTGCGAGCGTGTTTATTATCTGGCTGTACTGAACGTCATGGTCGTAAATTAAAATGACACGCTTTGCATATCCTCGCTCCAATACATGCCAACAGGACAGCAAACACACATTCACACGGCGGCAATAAAAATTTTAATTATTCAATTAAATTACACTCGAAGGCGTTGCTCAGCTCAGAGTTTGGCGAAATGCGAAATGACTGACGGCCCATAAAATTGACACCGCCACAGTTGCACGAACAGTGGATTCGGCGGCTCAAGGACAATGCATTCGCACCACCCACCACCGCCACACGACAGCGCCCGGCGAAATCATATAAAAATCATGTTTATTTAATTTGCATTACAAAAGGCCCGTTGTCCCGGCCGCTGCCGCTCGTTAAACTCCCTCCGCCGACCGGCCACGCCCACGTTTTAAAAAACAATAAACCGTATATAAGTAAGAATGGTTGTGCGAGGTGTTTGGTGCCTGGTGTTTTGCGGAGGCGAGCTGCACGTAAAATGATTAGCAAATATGCCACCGAAATAGGCGCACACAGATACACTTGAGGGGGCGTCGCCCCGCCCATAAGCTTGGTGGGACATTAAAGTTTACCAAGGTGGGGCCTTAAAGGGAGGGTGGTTTGGGGGTAGGTGGATGGGTGGCTTAGGGCCAGCGGTTGGAGCCGTTGGGCACGCAATCCCCTCGGCGGACGGAGCATTGAGGCAAGGCACGCATATTTAATTAGCTCCTTGCACTGTCGTTTTGTGGGTGTGCGGGTGGTCCTGAGACGATGGCCGTGGGTGTAGGTGGGCGTTCGCTTCGAGTGGGCGGGGCGTTTGGGGCAAGTTAGTGACCGCACTCGAGCAGGACCACAGTGAAGATCCTCTCGGGGGAATTCCCTGCGCCAGATTTGATTAGGTATTGAAATGATAATGGATTGGCCGGTGCCCGATTGCGTGGGTCAGGAAAATGGGAAGTGCTTAAGGAAAGTGATTTCCTTCTAGGTATTTTTGGAAAAAAAAATTTACCAAAAGAACTTTAGTCTTAAATTTGTTGGACATAAAATGTCAATACGAATTCAGTTTGCACTAACACAATTTGCGGTGTCTTGCTTTTTTGCACAACCTAGTTAGTTTTTTTGCCTTCAAATAATATTTTGAAATAATATTATTTCGCCTTACATTTTGATTTTAAATTATAAATAACAAGCAGGTAACAATCTAGCTAATTATTATAATGGTAACTACACAAAATAAAACAATAACTTTCCACTTTCCCTGAAATACAATTTCCTTTGAACTACCTCTAATCTCTCTAAGCTCTAATGTTGCTGAACTAAATCTTCTTTTATTTCGCTGTGCTTCAGCTAATTATCATCGTGATTTCTTCTTTTGAAGGATCACCGTACCACTTGGCTCCTGTGTCGTGTGAGGGAATATGAGCTGAAGAGCCGACAAGGCGAACATTTTATATGCGTGTCCATGTCGTTCCATTCATTCCTCCACTGCTGATTTTTGCCGCCGTTCACTGCGTTTTGCTGGCTGTTGTTGCTCTTGTTCTCGCTTGTATTTGCAGTTGTACTATACTTTAGTTGGAGCTGTAGTTGCTGTGTGATTAATTCGCGCAAAGAGTTGTGCGCTTCCGTTTCCGGTCTGCCATTGTTGTTGCCGTTGTTGTTGCTGTTGGTGTTGGTGTTGCTTTTGCTGCCACCGCGCAAGCTTTTGTGTTTCACATTTCACAGGAGGCTGATTTGTGCTTAGCTGTGGGTGAACTTGTGGGCGGGCCACAATATTAATTGTTTTGTGCCCAACGAGGCTTAAAAACACATGCTCATGTAAGCCACGTCCGCTGCAGTGGCCTCCCCTCCGGTTTTTTTTTTTTTTTTGTTTTAGGTTTCTGTTTCCTCCTTCATCCAAAAAAAAAAAACCTCCCGCTGGCCTTTTCGTGTTCATGTTTTGAAAAATCAGAAAACGCACAAGGATTCAGGCAGGAAGGAATCTGGGGAGAGGAGCCGTGAGGTGGCCAACATTTGACGCTTTAGCTCGGCCCCCAAACATTTAAGATAAGAGCGCCACAATGGGTTCGTTTGTATGCCATTAATATGAAAATCAGACACACTTATCTTAATTAGTTAGTCGCTCATAAAAGGGCCAACTGAAAAGTCAACCCAGTCGCTCCAGGGACATAGTTACTGGGTTTCAACTAGCCAAGTGTACAACTCAAAATACACACGCAACAATGTTCGTTGGTTTTTTTTTTCGTAACATTTCCTCTTTATTTTTAATCATTCTGTATTTCCAGCGGGTGTGTTTGCCTTTGTGTGCGTTCTAATGTGC